GAAGGACTGATGCTGAAGCTGAAACTCCAATACTTTGGCCACCTCATGCGAAGAGTTGACTCATTGGAAAAGACCCTGATGCTGGGAGGGATTGGGGACGGAAGGAGAAGGGGACGACAGGGGATGAGATGGCTGGATGGCATCACCGACTCAATGGACATGAGTTTGAGCAAACTCCAGGAGTTTGTGATGGACAGGGAGGCCTGGCGTGCTGCAGTTCATGGGGTCACAAAGAGTCGGACGTGACTGAATGACTGGACTGAACTGAACTGAACTGAAAGTAAACTGGATTGTTGAATCATATTAATGAGAGATGCTGTTATGATTACCCCTGGAGAAGTAGGTCAGTAGATACCCATTTGGACTACTTATGATGGTGAACAAAAGGCTGAAGCACTTAAAACCTGAAGAGAATCTTCAGAGTCACCAAACCCAGCCCTGACTTTAAAAGATTTTGGTCACTGAAGTCTAGAAAGATGGAGTTTTAATTCATTTTATTTAATAAGTACACATGTAGAAAGCGTCATTCCAGTGCTTTACAAATTCCAAATCATCTTTAGAGCAACCCTATACACAGATACTACCATTATCTTCATGGTACAGCTAAGAAACTAAGGCATACTTGCCCAAGATCACTCAGCTAGTAAGCAGGCAAAGCCAGAATTTGAATATAGTACTGGTTTTGCTTATGATCATGGGTAATGTATTTTGATAGAGGGAAAATAAAGAGTCTGCAGTGTTTTCCCAATATACTTCAAAGTTAAGAGGTTGTAAAAATATCTTAAGACCTCTGGTGGTCATGACCTTTTTTTTCCATTGAGATGTAGTTGATTTACAATATTAGTCTCAGGTGTACAACATAATGATTCAAATTTTTCAAGATAATACTCCATTTAAAGATACTATAACCTATTGACTGTGTTCCCTGTGCTGTACAATATATCCTTGTAGCTTATTTATTTTGTACAATTTGTACCTCCACTCATATCCCTATCTTGCCCTTTCTCACTTCCCTCTTCCCATTGGTAACCACCCATTCTCTATATCACTGAGTCTGCTTCTATTGTGTTATATTCATTCCTCTGTTTTATTTTTTTAGACTTCAAATATAAGTGATAACATACAGTATTTGTATTACTTATTTCACTAAGCATAACATAATACCTTCCAGGTTCATCCATGTTGTTGCAAATGGCAAAATTTCATACTTTTTTATGGCTGAGTAGTATTCCATAGTATATATAAACCATGTCTTCTTGAGTAGTATTCCATAGTATATATAAACCATGTCTTCTTTATCCATCTGTTGATGGACACTTAGGTTGCTTTTGTATCTTCGCTATTATAAATAATGCTACTATGAACATTGGGGTACATGCATCTTTTCAAATTAGTGTTTTATTTTCTCTATGATCCATAGGTAGGATCATAGGTAGGTCTGTTTTTGGCTTTTTGAGGAAAGTTCTCCACAGTGGCTACATCAATTTACCTTCTTACCAATAGTATAGAAGAGTTCTCTTTTCTCTACGTCCACGCTAACATTTGTTATTTGTGGTCTTTTTGATGATAGCCATTTCGACAGGTGTGAGGTGATATCTCCTTGTGATTCATTCTGCATTTCTATGATGATTAATGATGTTGAACATCTTTTCATGTGCCTGGTTGCCATCTGTATATCTTCTTTGGAAAAATGTCAGTTCAGATTTTCTGTCCATTTTTTAATCGAGTTGGTTTTTTTTTGGGGGGGGGGGCGGTGTGGATATTGTATAGTGTGAGCTGTTTACATGGTTGAGATATTAACCCCTCATTTATCATGTTATTTGCAGAAATATTTTCTCCCATTCAGTAGACTGTCTTTTCATTTTGTCCATGGTTTCCTTTGCTGTGCAAAAGCCTTTAAGTCTAACTGTGTCCCATTTATTTATTTTTGCTTTTGTTTCCTTTGCCTTATGAGACAGATCCAAAAAAATATTGCTATGATTTATGTCAGAGAGTATTCTGCCGGTGTTTTTCTTTTAGAATTTTTATTTCTGCTCTTACATTTAGGTTTTTAATACACCTTAAGTTTATTTTTGTATATGGTATGAGAAAATCTTCTAAGATCTTTGCAGGGGAGTAAACAGCAAACATTAGCTGACTGAGTGTATACATTGACTGTTAACCAAAAAGATAGAGTAGGTTAAGTAAAATGGGTACTTCCAGTTCAAAATTGTGTATTGAAAAAGAGAGACTAATTGTAATGATACAAAAGATGATTTTAAAAAATAGAAAAATAAGAAAACAGAATGGTTCTAACAGGGTCAGAAGTATAGACATTAATTATTTTCTGGAAACTGATTTTTAAATCTCAGACTTGGTGTGTATAAAAAACAGCACAGAAAATAGGGGCAAAGTGATTAAAAAAATTTACTTTGGGAAGGGAGCTGGGTGATAAAAGACGAGAGTACTTTGTGGTTCTGCCCTTTCTGGTAACAGTGGGCCTTCATACAGCCACCTGAACTGTCTGGACCTTTGTTTTCACAGGTATGTATTCTGAGAACGATGGTATTCACTTATTTTTTTCTTTTCCTATCAGAAGTAGTTTAAAGCTTTAGCTCTCATCTGTAAATGAGATTAGAAGTAATTTATAAAGTGTCCAGCACATTGACATTTACTTGATCAGTAAATGCTTTACACAAATATGAGATGATAATTACAATAACAGAATTATTGAACTTTTTCTCAAAGAAGATTAATAGACACTCTCTTTGTGTTTTGGACGCCATTTATAATCTTAATTATGTCAACATTTTGTGAAAGGATCCCTTCCAGTCTCTCATCCTCAAGTTCATCTTCACCACGCCATTCTTTTCTTTCACCAACACTGATAAAGTCCTTTGAATGCTAAACCACCAAGTTCAGGACAAATAATCATATACTTTTGTGACTATGTTATTGAACATTATTGTCCAAAGAGTCTAAATTTGCTGGCATACTAAATTATTTTCTTTTTTTTTTCATTTATTTTTATTAGTTGGAGGCTAATTACTTTACAGTATTGTAGTGGTTTTTGTCATACATTGACTTGAATTAGCCATGGATTTACATGTATTCCCCATCCCGGTCCCCCTTCCCACCTCCCTCTCTACCCACTCCCTCTGGGTCTTCCCAGTGCACCAGGCCCGAGCACTAGTCTCATGCATCCAACCTGGGCTGATGATCTGCTTCACCCTAGATATTAAAAGTAAAAAAGAGAATTTCTGAATATACAACTCTGTTTTGATAACACGTGGATTCTATAAAATAGGTATAGCACACTCTGTTTTACATTTGAAGAATGTAATGTCCAGAGAAATTAAATAATTTGTCCAAACTTTTCATCCGTCAGCAGACTGAGATGAAAAATCTCTCCCACATCAAACTCATCAAATTCCCCATTCCTCAAATACAGCAAGGGTGATTAAAGATAGTCAAGATATGAAAATGCCCAGTTTTTAGAAAGTATGAGAAAATTTCTTAAAGGAAAGGTACAAATGCTGTGGGGCTCACAGGAAATTCACAAAGAAGTGCCTAGAAGAAGAGAGTTTAAGAGTCTGGCTCAGGGAGGGAAGGAGCAACAGAGAAGTTTAGAATCCACTTAGAACCATAAGTAGAAGATATATGAGAACTGGAAACCCAGGCTTATATAGTAGGTGGGTATGAAGTTCATGGAACCATATGGCTACAGTTACTCAAAATGAGAAATTAACTTGAAAACTGGAATGGATCCAGGGAAATCACAGGGTTCCTACAGAATAGTTCAGAGAAGCATTTCCACATCCCCAAACATACTGAACTCCAGTAGAAAGTATTTTGTGCCTGAAAATGACATTAAAGTATAATTGTAAATCTCGTGGTTAAATAAACTAGCATTCAGGAGAGACAGTAGACCCTACAAGAAAAGAAATCTGCACACCAAAAATGAGATAATATAACAATCTAAAGGGAACTATAAATACATCTGAAATGGTCACAGATAACAAGGAATTGATGCAACAGAAAGTAGAAACAGAATATTTTTAAAAGAAAGAAAAAATTAATGTGAGTAATAAGTAAATAGTTTTCTACAAATGGGAAATAGAGTCATTGATATGAAAAGCTGAATGTATGGCTTAAAGAACAACTCTACTCTTTACCGTGGCACCTTGGAGGCTATCAGCCGCTTCAGAATGAAGCTGAACATCTCTTTCCCAGCCACTGGCTGCCAGAAGCTCATTGCAGTGAATGAAAACTTCGTACTTTCTATGAGAAGCATATGGACACAGAAGCTGCTGCTGATGCTGGTTGAAGAATGGAAGGTTTATGTGGTTCAGATCAGTGATTGGAACGACAAGCAGGGTTTCCCCATGAAGCAAGGTGTCTTGACCCATGGCCGAGTTGCCTGCTGCTGAGTAAGGGGCATTCCTGTTACAGACCAAGGAGGACTGGAGAGAGAAAGTACAAATCTGTACGGGCTTGCATTGTGGATGCCAATCTGAGTGTTCTCAATTTGCTATCATGAAAAAAGGGAAGAATATTCCTGGACTCACTGATACTATAGTGCCTCGCTGCCTTGATCCCAAAAGAGCTAGCAGAATCCACAAACTTTTCAGTCTCTAAAGAAGATGATGTCCGCCAGTATGTTGTGCGAAAGCCCCTAAACAAAGAAGGTAAGAAACCTAGGACTAAAGCACGCAAGATTCAGCGTCTCGTGACTCCATGAGTTCTGCAACACAAACGTGGGTGGAATTGCTCTGAAGAAACAGCATACTAAGAAAAACAAAGAAAAGGCTGCAGAATATGCTAAACTTTTGGCCAAGAGAATGAAGGAAGCCAAAGAAAAACAGCAGAAACAGATTGCCTAGAGATGGAGGCTGTCCTCTCTGACAGCTTCTACTTCTGAGTCCAGTCAAAAATAGATTGTTCTAAGAGTAACAAATAGATAAGATCAGACATTAGAAAAAAAAAAAAACTCTATACAGATAAAGATAAAAACCGGTGCTTTAGAAAGCAAATCTAAGGGCATCACATAGAAAAGCATCAGGGAAAGGATAATGGGATAGAGGAAATTAAGAGACAACAAAGAAAGAAGAATTGAAATTTTGTTTTGTTTTTTTCAAATTTCAGAAAGAAACAACAGAAAGAGTAAAGAGAAAACTTTGGAAAAGACAATGGATATAATTTTCCAGAACTAAAGAAAGATATGATTCCATAGATTGAAGAATCACGGAGTTTTGAACAGGATAAATAGCAATAAATCCATACCTAGATAGGTGTAGAGCATTAAAACCCTCAAAAACCTACCAAACAACAGGTTACTTACAAAGGAATGGCAGTAGGAAGGTAGAATTCTCATCAACAGATGCCAGTTTAAAGTGGAATAAACATCTCAAAAGGGCTGAATTCTATAAGCAGCTAAAACATCCTTAAAGAGTGAGCACAGAAATTACATTTTCAGGCATAAAAAGACTGCAGTTACTATTTCCATATCTATGCTAAGAGAATTACGAAAGGATAAAACTTTAACAAGATGAAATGTAATGTGGAAGAATAGAAAAAACAAGATGTACAAGTAAGCAAAGAAATTGCTACACATGCTAAATATTTACTACCTATTTTAAAAATTATAATGAGCAGTAGGGATCAAGTTTAAATTGATTTGGAACTAAAATTCTAGGCAATAATAATATCAAAGAGTTAAACTGTCCTAAAATTCTATTGTTTACAAACACACATAAAGATATTGGTTAACTTTAATTATGGATGTTAAAAATGTAAAGACATGAATGTACCAAGATGTATGTATCCACTTTATTGTTGCTAGACATTTAGCTTGTTTCCAGTTTGGGGCTGTTATGAATAATATTGCTTTGAACATTCTTATGCATCTCTTTGGATGCACATTGGACAATATATGGCAGTGGAAATGAATGACATACAACATTTCACAACAAAATCAATTAATCTCACAAGAAAGAATATATAATACCCTGTTGTCTCATTAAAAAAAAAATGCTAAAACTGGAAAAACTAATTCATTGGCTTTTTTGAAGTTACAAGTGTTGACCTTTGAGGAGGAAGGAAGAGGAGTAGTGCTTTGGAGGGGCATCAAGGGGACTTCTAGGATATGAGGAATATTCTATTTCTTGATAATAGTTACTTGATATGACATGACTGTGTTCATTTTATGATACTTGATTTCATTGTACAATTATGACCTGGATTTTTCTGTATGTGTATTATAGTTCAGTAAAAAGTAGCTTATTTTTTATGGTAAGTTTACCACCAAAATAATATAAATAAATTATATAATTCTTCAGCCCAGTAAAGGAAAAAAAAAGAATTAAAAATATGTCTAAAGAACTGAAAGCAGAAAAGAAATAAAAATAGCATATAAAAGACAAAATACTATGCCAGAAATAGTTCAAGTAGATCACGAATCATAATAAATGTGAATGAAATCACATAGCTACTAAAAGACAAAAATTATGAAACTGATTTTAAGAAATTAGCTGTTGTAAATATTGTTTATGCACAGAATGGTTCAAAATGAAAGGTATTCATATGTGTTTATTTTCTGTTGCCGCTGTGACAAATTACCACAAATTTAGTGACTTAGAGGAAAACTAATTTACTATCTAAAAGTTCTGTAGATTAAAGGTTCAACATGGGACTTAGCTAAAATTGAGGTGTAGGCAGGGCAGCGTTCTTTTCTGGAGGCTCCTTGTGCTTGCCAGCTTCTAGAGGCTATCTTCCTTGGGTCATGACCCTCCCTCTCCATCCTCAAAGACAGCAACCCTGGTTGAGTCCTTCTGTTATCCCATCATTCAGGCTTCTGCCATTACATCTCTGTCTCTCTCTTCCTTTTCCTCCCACTTCTACTTTTAAGGAGCACTGTGATTACTTTACCCAGGAGAATCTCACTATTTTAAGGTCATTTAATTAGCAATCTTGAATCCATCTGCTCCCTTAACTCCTCTTTGACTTGTAATATAACATATTCACAGGCTCCAAGGTTTAGGACAGGGGCATCTTTGGGAGATCATTGTTCTTCCTACTACAGATATATTTGGCAGATAGTCAGCAAAAAAAAAAAAAAAAAAAAAAAAAAATCAAGTACAGTAATAGTTATTACTACATGGCATAATAGTTTATAAATCAAAATGTGTTAGTAGGGAAAAGGGAGAAGCTACATAATGATAAAATCTACCAAAAAGATTAACAATGTGATTGGTCCAATAAGAATTAAATCCAGGACTTGGACTCAACTTCTGTGCCTTCTAGTTCAGTATTCCTACTAACAAAAATTTCTAAAGAACACAGACCAATAGAAGGTGGTACTTGAAGCTCTCTGTGCAAGTACTGGTAAATTTCTTGCCCCAAATGAAAATAATAATTATGACCCAGACCACAGGGCTGTTGTATGAAATACCTTAGGATTGAGGCACACTGCAGCTATCATATAAATGTTAAATAAAAATAATATTTCCTGTATCCTTACTAGAGTTGGGCAAATCCAGATGTATATTGTACTTTTCACATATTTCAAAATATTTTCAAATGTTTTGGTTTGGGTTCAATAAAAACCTCAAGTACATTTTGCCAAGTGCTTTTTCCATTAATTATTCAATCCATTTGTATTTCAAGGGAAATTCAGTCCACATGTTTCTAATTCATTTAGCACTAACTCATCAAAATATTGTTTCTCTCAGTGCTATTTTCCGTCCAAGAGGCTTTTCAAGCCCTCTCCTCCTTTTTTTTTTTTTTTTTAATTTCTTAGAAACAAAAAGATACAGTTTTCCAAGGGCAAATCCTAGTAAACTACCAAAAGATTTACTAAACATTGCAGCTAGAATTCTTTGAGTTTCAAAGTCCCGTCAGTCTACCCTGGTCCACGTCACCTCTCTCACCTATTGCCTGGTTTCCTTAACTTTTTCTTTCCTTTGATCAGGTTCTTCTTTGTTCTCATTGACCCTCCCCAGATTTCAGGTTTTCTATCATTGAAGTCCATGGGCCTCCAGACACCTTAATCCTCTTGGTGAACCCCTCCCTTTTAATGAAAACCTTCCAAGGCTGGGGCCAGTGAAATAATGGATTCATACTGCCTTCCAAAATATCCTCATGGGATCTGTGGCAAACCTTAGAAATAGATACATTTAAAAAATCTGATCTTTTTGAGTATATACTTTGTGTGTGTGTGTGCTATCTTATGTGCAATTAATGTCCTCTTAACAGTGCCTAAAGGGTGAGGAACTTGATACTATGTTCATTGTGAGTGATCTAAAAACAGCAAGAGCTGTGCTGAAGAGTCAGTTCCCACATCACTTGTGGAGTCCTCTTAACCAAGAAGATTTAACCTGAATCTAAGCATAAAGACATGTGGAGCATTCTACAAGACAACTTCTCTGGACTCTTCAAATATGTTAATATTATGAAAGACAAATCAAAGCTATCAGGAAACTCTTCTAGATGTAAGGAAATTAAAGAGACATTACAACTAAATGCAGACTGTTACCGTTGATTGAATTCTGGAATTGAGAAAAATATAGGGACATTCTGAGATAGTTGCAGAAATTTCAGAATGTTTTCTTGAGTGTGGTAGTGATGTCATGGTTATATATAAGGGTTCATATTCATATGCGTATATACACATTTGTGTATATATGAAGAGAGAGTAAATATAGCAAAATGTTATACTTGATAAATCTGTATACACCCACCCACACACACAAGCACCCACACACACAAATATACATATTCACACTCACCTGCGCATATTCATACACACCCAGATACCCACACACAGAGGAAATATGTAGGAGACTCTTCTCTGCAAATTTGTCCATCTCAATCCAGAAATTCTTTTTTAAAAAGTCTTCTTTTTTAAAAAAATGAAGTATAGTTGATTTATAATATTGTGTTAGTTTCAGGTAGACAACAAAGTAATTCAATTATATATACATAGTTTTTCAGATCATTCTCCAATATTATAAGACATTGAATATAGTTCCTTGTGCTATACAGTAAATCCTGTTGTTTATTTATTTTATATATAGCAGTGTGTCTGTTAATTGGCCTTCCCTGATGACTCAGTCGGTAAAGTATCTGCCTGCCAATGTAGGAGATGCAGGAGACGTGGGTTGCATACTCTTAACCATAAGTTTGTTTTCTATTTATGTCTAAAAGTCTGTTTTATAAATAAATTCATTTGTATTAATTTTTAGAGTCCACGTGTAAGTGCTATAATATTTGCCTTTTTTCCATTTGACCTACTTCCTTAGTATGATATTCTCTAGGTTCTTCTATGTTGCTGCAAATGACATTATTGCATTCTTTTTATGGCTGAGCAATATTCCATTGTGTGTGTGTGTTTGTGTATATGGTATCTTCT